AGACCTTTTTTCTGAAGAAGGGTCTAGGCCCGAAACGTCAGCCTTCCTGCTCCGCTGATGCTGCTTGGCCTGCTGTGTTCATCCAGCTCTACACCTTGTTATCTCAGATTCTCCAGCATCTGCAGTTCCTACTATCTCTGCCAAATTGACTATCCTAATTAAACAACTACTTCACTGTCACTTCTACATAACTTAGCCCATGTTTTTGTTTCTGGGCATACAAAGAAAGGACATCATCTAGGTAAGGTCCCATACATACGGATGACAAAGTTCTCAGGTTTGGGCTTAATACTAGCAAAACATCATTTGTCTCCACACAGCAGAGGACAATATGACAACAGTATAGAACTCCCTTATAGTGAAATCCCAAGGCAGAATTATTCTCAATATTTGTGATTAATTGTCATATTAGCACAGGTCTCCATCATCTCAGGTGGAAGTACAATCTTGGGACCATGCTAATCTTGGCATGTGAAGCCAGGGAACTTTGAATTAAAAATGAAGGCTCTTAGAAGTTGATGAACAAACACATGCATGGGAATGTGATGGGAAAGAGAATGTCACAGAACAAAGAGGTGGGTTTTTAATCCTCCATATAATCGAATTCATAATCGCAAAACAGGATTGTTGAGGACTGGAGTCAAAAGTAGAGAGTCATTACTCAGGCTGATTTCAAGTGTTTCCTAACAATCTTTCTGAAAAAAGATGAGATAACCCTGGAATATCAGTCATCTTTAGGGTGTAGATGATGCACAAGACTAGACTGAGAAAATAGAAGACAAAAAACACCTTCTAAATGCAGAAATATACATTAAAATAGGATTTTTTTCAAAAATATAAGGAAAGCAACTACATTCAAATGAAAATCTGCAGACAGGCAACAAGTAAATTATGATGAAACCAACTAACTACACTATTTAATTATTATATGTATATCAACAGCATCTGAACTCCTGCTTACCCAGTTTCTCCTAACTTTGGCCCTCTCCAGAAGTTTTTGATGCAGCTGCTTACCAATTCCTTGTCCAAATGTTTTAACAATTGCTGTGCTTCTTTCCAGTTCTTCTTCATGCAAAAATGGCTTCACTAAAATAATTTTAAAATTCAACTGTACAATTACAACTAAATAATACTGACAAACTTACATAGACTTGAACAGGTTTTCAGGTTTTCAAGTAATTTCTTGGCATAAAACATAACCTGAAAAATATTGAGGCATTGCTACTGTAAACTTAGAGGCTGAAATTTGAAGTTTCCCAGTGACAAGAGGTTTTTTTTGAAATAATCAAACTTTTCTATACAGCAAATATGGCACAATGTAATGAAAGATATCTGGAAGAAATAGAATTGAGAGGATGAAAACGTCTACAAACAATGAGTATGAGGCACAAAATTGGAAGACTTGCAGCAATATCCAGTTGAGCAATGATGAACATCAAAAGGATCAAATTTTATGGCTGCAACATACCAGTTCTAATAAATCAAGAAGCAGAACTGAATCACCAAAAAAGTTCTGTGCAACAGCCTGCAGAAAAACCAAATAACCCATTTCATCTGAACAGCCACTGTCTATAAAATTGAACAAAACATGATAAAATTCAAGAATGTAAAACAGTCAATATCTCCCATGTGCCAAAAACTAAGAATCCAAGGAAGTAAAACATAATTTCAGTTTGGAGTTACTATTCAATTTTAAAATCAGGTAACACGTTGCAATATATAATTGTGACAATATTCTGAAAATGTGTGTTTCTGGCTTTTTTTTGTTATGGGTGAACAATGATTGAGGGGAGAAAAAAATAAGTGAAATCTCTGATGTGTTGAAATTGATGTCAAAAGTTTAATGTTACTTCCTGACTTAAGGCAACATGCCTTGTAAGCATGTTTTGAAGAAAAGTTAAATTAATGCCAGTTGTCAGGGCTTTTCTACACTCAATTCACTGTTACAGGAATCAGCCAGCAGGAGGGATATGGGTCACACATGAGATTCCAAACTCTTGAAGTTTAGAAATGCAACTGCAGTGGAAGATATCCTGCTCAAAACTAACCAGTAGTTTTTGATTACGATGGAGCCCAATAATCAAAGTCCACTTTTATTATTGTAAGCAAAGATATCAAAGAGCTGGGTGAATGTTGTTGTAGCCTGAGGACATTCATTATCCATACTTGGATGGAAAGAATGTTGACGTCCACAAATCAATGGCATCTATTGAACAGATGCCAGCTCGAGTCACTATCACTAATGACAAGAGATGCAAGGCAGAAAACAGAGGGCAGGGAAAAATTAAATCTCCACACTTGGGAACAAAAATCAAAACTTGGTCTGTGCAGACTACGATGTATAAAATAAATTGATAAAAATATTTTTTCTAAGTAACATTAAAATTCAACTAAATTCTTGCATAACTATCTACTCCTACATGCTAAGTATCGCATTTATCTGCTGCCAGACATCTGATAAGTTTAATTAGTCCAATCTATAAGACACTTCTACCCAAAAAATAGTTTCTTTTCTAATTGCAAAAGAGACTCAACCACAATATTGAGTTTATAGGGAGTTTTCGAACTGTCTATGATCTTAATATCGTACCTGCTTCTAAATATTTCATCAAAGATTCCTCAAGAGTGGGTACAGGTAGTGAAGGTAATGAGTCCTGGTATTGAAACGTACGCTCTTCATTTGATTCAAACATTTGATTTTCCATTTTTTAAAAAGGGAATGTATCACCTTATATCTGGCAAGAACACACGAAAACATGGAATTAGGAAAAGATATTCAACCTATAAAGATCTTTTTCCATAAATGAAGTCCAATATATATTTATATTGTACCCCATGACTTACCATTTGCTGCCGAGGTTTGACCCTTCTGACCTGCAGAAAAATAAAGGGGGGAAGATTGCACAAAGGCATGATGAAGGTGGTTTCAAAGGTAGAAATTAGACATAATAAATTATTATTAAAATATGGTTTTAGAGAGAACCATAGGAGGCCAAAACTCATCAGCTGCTGGTCCACTATACGAAACAAAGGACAAGCAGTACTCCTCAGTCAGAGGAATAATGGGCTCATGCTATTTCTTACAGCTAGAAAAAAACAGTTCATCAAAAAGTCAAAGCCAAAGATAGAATTTAAAATTAGTACAACTCATTGGCTTGTATGAATTCAGCAGTGCTAGGGTGGTAAGGGAAAATGAATCCCTTGTTTAGAGAGGACCCGAGTTGCACAGGTGTAGATTAAGTTTGACCTAGAGGAGGATATTGAAGAATGCATTCCACCAAATCAACATTCAAAGGAAAGCTTTAGAAACTGAGGACGTAACCTTGAATATACACTTACTTTATGCCATTCACACTGCTTCATCACATGGACTCACTTTTTCAAAACATGGCGGACTGCATGCAGTCCCCACAATACCAGTCTCTGTGGAGTTATTTCTGTGCCACTACCACATCAAGGGCAGCCTCCAATAATAGTCCAGGGGCTTGGCAATGTCAGTCAGACCCTCATGTCAGTCAGAGTCAGAATGCTCTCCATGCAAGAGGTAAGAAACTGAATGTCTGTCAGCTCCTAAATCGTCCAGGTCTGTTTCCTCCTGGAATGAGAGGCAGGTATTAAAGAGAGATGAAAGCGGATGGCACAGCTGGTGGTTTTGGGGCAGGTAGAGAGGTATTCTAGCCTAGTGACTAGGCAGTGCACAGAGCACGTTAGACTAGTGGTAGCAGGAGTTAGGATGGATGACAGCAAATGAACAATGATGTTGCAGGCATTAGTGACAGTGGTACAACATGAGCCTTGGGAACAAAAACAAAGTTGCTGGAAAAGCTCAACAGGTCTGGCAGCATCTGTGGAGGAGAAAACAGAGTTAACGTTTCGGGTCCGGTGACCCTTCCTCAGAACTGGGAGCCTTGGGAGATGGGTCTGCAGCAGAAAAGTGAGAAGTATCAGAGAGAAGATGGTAGCAATTTCGCTGGTCAAGTTGAGAATATCATTGACCTTCTGCCTACAGTGCTGGGCATGCCTGCAGATGGCTGACTCTGCTTTAACCTAGGTGGCAATGTCAGACAAGGCTGGCATGGACTGATGCTGTGGCCTCCACTTCTGGTCCTGGGGTTAAGAGGAAGCCCCAACTCTGCACCAATCCATCCTATAGGGCCTCCAGGTTCCTGATTGTAAAGCACGGTGTCAATTTCCCCATCTGGGCCAGATTTCAGAAATTGATCAGGGCTGCTTCAGACTGACAGCATTTGGTGGTGCACAACAGGTTTTTAAAGATGAGATAGGTGCAAGGGTTGCTGGTGAATTCTGGGATATTTGGTAAGATGGGGTTGGAATTGGACATTAGGGATGCTACAGGGGTGGGTAAATAGATAATGAGATCAGTTTCGTGAAATAAAATGAAAAAACCTGCATGGCCTTACGGTGAATATCTCTCCAAAAAAAACTTGATGCAACTCACTCTTCGCCAAAAAATAAAAGATTCAGCACATTGTTTCTGTTGGTAATATAGTTGGTAATTAGACAGGACGTATTTCATGCAATTTGTGAAAGGACCTTTCAGTGGAAGGTCTGAAGATTCAGCAAAGGTTTGAACTTCAATTCTGTTGGTGGACAAGGGATTGAAACGTACAGGCTTAAATTAGATTGGGTAACAATAATGAAACTGTCAGGATAAAAATGTGCAATTTTCAGGTTCAAATCATTGTTGGGTTCCAACTATTCATGATCCATATTAACAGTAGCAGTATCTACAAGATGTGCTGCAGAAATTCACCACAAATCCTTATACACCAACTACCAAACCTACAACCACTTCCATCTGTGTGGGTTTCCTATGGGTACTCCAGAATCCTCCCACAGTCCAAAGGTGGGCAGATTAGGTGGATTTGCCATGATGAATTGTCCGTAGTGTCTAGGGATGTGCAGGCTAGGTGGGTTAGTCACGTTAAATGTGGGGCTACAGGGAAAGGGTGGAGGACTGGTTGAGATCCTGTTCGGAGAGTTGGTGTCTGCTTGATGAGCTGAACAGCCTCTTTCTGCACTGTAGGGATTCTATGATTACGAAACAAAACAATGGATCCTAAAGGTCAGAAACAAAAACAGAAATTGCTGGAGAAACTCAGCAGGTTTGCAACACCTGTGGAGAAAAAGCAGAGTTAATGTTTCAAATCCAGTGACCCTTCTTCAGAATTATTGTGCACATTATATTCATCTCCTTCACCAAAATCAGTTTATTCAAAATTTGAAAACCACTTATGGTATTACATATTTACATCAGACAGATGTTCACCTGCACATCCATCAATGTGGTCTATTGCATCCGCTACTCCAAATGTGGCCTCCTCCTCATCAGGAAGACCAAGCGGAGGCTTGGAGACCACTTTGTAGGGCACCTGCACTCTGTTCGCGACAAACGACAACACCTTCAGGTCGCGAACCACTTCAACTCCCCCTCCCACTCCCTGGGTGACATGTCCATCCTGGGCCTCCTCCATTGTCACAACGATGCCACCCGCAAACTGGAGGAGAAGCACCTCATATTCCGCCTTGGGAGCCTACAGCCCGATGGCCTAAATGTGGATCTTCCCAGTTTCAAAATCTCCCCACCCCTGGCCTCATCCCATGTCCAACCCTCCCTCTTATCCCCGCCTCCTTGACCTGACACAACCTATCCATCTACTCTCCCTTCTCACTGACCAATCCCCACCACTCCCTACCTGCACTCACCTATCACCATCCCAACTATCTTCCCCAACCCCACCCCTCCTCTCTGTCTTTATCTCTAAGCTCCCTTCCCTGCCACCCCCCTCCCATTTCTGAAGAAGGGTCCCGACCCAAAACATCAACTTTCCTGCTCCTCTGATGCTGCCTGGCCTGCTGTGTTCCTACAGCTCCACGCTGTTTTCGACAAGTATTAATGGATGCATTCTCCATGGCAAAGCCTCTACCATCAGAGGTTACTTGCCAACTAATCAAGTGGTACAAATGTTAGTTTCCTCTTGAATTTGTACTCTTGTGAAACACCCTGATGAGTGCAGGAAAAAAGCTTTGACAAAATACATTTTTTTCATTAATATTTAATTTTGTATTTTTTTTATACCTACTTGTCACTGACTTATGTTCCTAACTAGTGCAATAGAGGTATAATTAAAAATTAAGAAATGATTTTCAGGTTGTATTTCCTCAGTATTTTGAAAGAACTTGAATTGGAAAGTTTGCAAGGGATGCTGGGAAAGGTTGTTAATAAACTATTCTGGAAAGCGCCAGCTCATTTAAAAACTGATTGATATTCAAAAACTTCTTAATCTGTACCCCCAAAAGGTTTCATTCTGTTTTAGCCAATGTTGCAGTTTTTTTTTCATTTGAGAACCACAATACATTGAATATAACTCAACTATCAGTGGGTCTGGCTGCTGAGATAGTTAAGCAGCTAATGTTTTAACAAACAGTCAAAGTACAAGTGTTGTTATGCAAAGTACTGGACTTTCAAATGTCATAGGCAAATTGCCAATTTTTTAAGTGGGCAAATATTACAATGAAATCATTTAGTCTCAGTATATTGAGTACATATTCACAAAGGGTGGCAAATATCAAGCAAACACAATGGTCCAGTTATGTTGAAACACAAGAATGCAAAAATCACGAATGAATATGAGGTAAAGGTGACATAATAAATATAAATAATCATATTATCCACAAACTGTTAAAAAGCATTTGGTCCAAAGCTTATATTTAGTAACCTACATTTTACTTTATGCCCTATTTTAATATTATTAAGTCAAAAAAATGATACATCACTTGTTACAGGATCTTAAATGCTTATTTAAGCCATATAGCTCAAGGCTTAGACTTGCTCCAACTTTGAAGTGTTGTCTATAGTTCTCTGCATCACACTTTACAAACGGGGGTAATTATCGTACCTTGAAATTCATGACAAGCATAAACGTTTAAGTAAATAAGCCGTTCTGGACATCAGCATGCAAGGAAAAGATAGGATATTTGGGATATTTGCAGTAGGGAAAAGATGGCTCAGGAAATGATCTTTGCAGGAACTGAACCTAGAGAGAGGTATTTGCTACCAATACTAGCTGAAAAGAGAACTCAATTTTCCTCTGCATAGGATGGTGAAATGTCCAAACAGTATTATGGGTGTATCAAAAACCTGATGGACTATGACAGTTCAGAGAAGCAGCTCAGCACCACCTTCTCAAAAGCAATTAGGAAAGGGCAGTAAATGTTGGCCTTGCCAATGATATTTATTTCCTATTAAATACAAAAAATCTACAAGGGGAGAAGTGGAAGATGCAGTACAAGTTTTAAGATTGTGATGATCAAATTATTCTCTGGCATGGTTAATGAAGGGTAAAGTGGGAAAAAGAGTCTTGTTTGTTAGAACTGGTTCACTGAATATGAATAGACCTTTCTATTCATTACAGTATTATGTTCCTCAATGTACTGGTTAGAACACTAAAGCTGTTAAGATGATTACTTTGAGTGTTTGCCAGTGCAATTCTGTCAGGTCCTGCTGCGAATGGACACAAACTGCTTCCATACCTAAGTAGACAGGAACGGAGCTGAACATTGCACAGTGAACATCCCCAGTTCTGACCTTATGATGATAGGAAGGTTATTGATGAGCAGCTGAAGATGGTTGAAACTCCTATAGTCATGTCCTGGAGCAGAGATGATTGTCTTCCAACAACCATAAACAGTTTCATTTCTGCTAGGTATGGCTCCAACCAGCACAGAGCTTTTCCCCCTTACTTCTATTGACTCTAGTTTTGCTAGGGCACCTTGATGCCACACCCAGTGAAACAGTGCTTTCATGTCAGGCATAGTCACCTTTACTTCCTCTCGAATATTCATACAAGGTGCTAAAAAAAGGGCCCTTTACTCCACAAGTAAAAGGAGCTACTAAAGGCATTCTTCACCAGGTGAAAATGTGAAAGCTGGGGTGTAGCAACCAAGTTATTTTGTTACAGCATTAGTTTCCCTCACCACAGATGATTCCTATCCTGCTGAGTACCTGCAACATTATTTGTTATATTTCAGATATCAGCATCTGCAGTGGGTTGCATTAATCCTATTAACTGTTCTGAGTATGGTGAAAAAATTGTGAACACTTATGGCCTGTAAATCTTCTGTTTTTAGCCATGTTGGAGTTGTTTTTGTTTAAATGTTATGACTATATAAAGAATTCCCAGCTTTATGGCTTATTTGATAAAGCCTCACTTGAAATTTTTCAAAGTTGGAAATTTCTGCAGATGTCAAAAGAATTACAGAAATAAAATACCACTACAGACTGCCACATATAAGACAGCCCCTTTTTTGGCAGCAAAATGCATGTTTAAGCCCATAATCTGAATAACTTTAAAAACCAAAAAAAAACTGGGATGCTGTAAATCAGGAACAAAACAGAAGTTCCTGGAAAAGCTCAGCAGATCTGGCAGCATCTGTGAAGAAAAAATCAGAGTTAACGTTTTGGGTCTGGTGACCCTTCCTCAGACCCAAAACGTTAACTCTGATTTTTTCTTCACAGATGCTGCCAGACCTGCTGAGCTTTTCCTGCAACTTCTCTGAATAAGTTTATTCTGTTCATAAATGTTAGGGTTATACTTACATGAGGGGTTGACCCCAATTTTTCAGCTCAAGATACAAGTTTTAATTTATATTTGGTTTTTAATTTAGCATGTGGGTTCAAGCAGACAATATGAGCCATGTTGCCAAGTACATATGCTGGAGTTTAAGACATCCTCACAAAAAGCAAACTGTATATGGCAACTAATGAATAGAAAGGGGACCTTCTGCACTAACGCTGGCTGTTTAGTTTTTATGGTCAACATCAAGATACTTTCTAATCAACCTGTTCGGAGATATCATTACACACCTCTGCAGCAGACAGGACTTGAACTCAGGCCTCCTGGCTCAGGAGGTAGTGACACTTAGTGTCGAAACTTCAAAGGCAGACTTGTACGTTGTGATCCACAGATCCTTATTGACTTAAGTGGAACAGTCAGCCTGGTTTAGCAATTTCTTCCTGTATAATCACAATAGCAAAATTCATGAACTAATGGTTCAGCATGTTCTCATTCTGTTTTCTAATCACATCTTACTGTTCAATTTTATGTCCATTTTGACTAACATTTTACAGAACAATAGATTTGGTGGATAAGGGCAGAAAGCCTAATTACAAGTAACCAGCTGAATAGGAAAAATACCACTGTAAATGCAAATACAATGTTATCACTTAACAAACTAGGGCAAACAAAGGATCAAATGGATCATATGAACAGACACAGGCATCCATTGTACTGAGTACCAAAGACACGATGGAAAGAAAAACACAGCTCAATTTCAGGGATAAGGCACAACAAAAACATCTCTCCAACAGTCATTCCACAGAATCAAATATTTCAAGTCAATAAAAGGCTTTTCAACTTATAAATTTGTAAAAACTATTTTGAAAATAACACAGTAAATATCACTGAGTATATTTAAACACGTGTAAGTCCAGATCAGGCATACTATTCCTCAAAAGGGCTGTCAAAAAGGATAGGCATTCTAATAGGAATTCGATATTTCGAACCAGAAGTACAGAAGAATTGCTGACTTGAGCTGGCAAGGACTGATATAAAACTTTCTCTACACGTCTTAGTTCCTTTGTACACCGCTTACATTTCTCTTATATACTGCACCAAACACTCTCCCCCTAACAGTAGCTAAATGTTAGCATATAAAACAGTTAAAGGGTAAAGGCTTACTGGCCCATTTCTGAAGAAGGGTCCTGACCTGAAATGTCAACTTTCCTGCTCCTCTGATGCTGCCTGGCCTGCTTTGTTTCTCCAACTCCACACTGTGTTACCTGACTCCAGCACCAGCAGTTCTTACTATCTCTGATCCATCAGCCTGTTTTACACATCTGTGATGTCTTCAGCATGCCATTCCCAGCCCACCCAGAATCATACAGTCTTCTGCAATTGGCTAAACGTCAGACAAAAACAGAAAATCTAAAAGGGTAAAAACAGTAAATGTCCTCTCTGATCTTCTTGGGCAATCAAAACTGGATCAAGTTGTATCTCTGGTGCACATTGGGAGTCAGAGAGTTGGTGAAAAGGGAAGTTAGAGTTTTAACTTTCAAGTTTTAATCTTGAACAAAACCTAGGACCATTTGCCTACGACTTAGTATTTCACTTAAAGTTACTGCTTTAAATTTAAAGTCTCAGTGGCTCAGGGCAGGACTAATCAAGCAAATCATGGCATACGCAACTGGCTTAGTGGGCTTTGTAACTCTGATCTTTCTGGTGGGAGGGGGTCTTTTGTCTTACAGTGATAGTGTCCCTACCTCTAAACCAGGCCACCTGGGTTCAAGTCCCACGTACTCCAGAGGTATGTAATAACATCTTCTGTAACTGCCTGACATTCTGGGCTATCTCGTGAGCACGACTGATGAATCTACCATCGCAGCATCTCCTGAAGGCTTCAGCATACATGTCGAGCCTAGGACAGCGGCCTTCTAGCAGGGTCTAACTTAACTCTTTTATCTTCAGTTGCTGCATAGCAGATCTCTCTGTCAACTGTTCTGGTTCATTGGTTGTCTCATTGGGCTCGCTGCTGATATCTTCGGATTTGTGAAAGAATTCCCAGCGCCTCGTTCGCCTGATAAATTACTCTACGTCTGCTGTGAGACCAATGGGGTCCATTTTGGTAGTGGTGCAAAAATTGAGCCTTTAGATGAGAACTTTGATTTTATCTGATTGAAGGCTGTGGTCAGACACGTTGATGATGGAATTTCCTGTGGTGATACTGGTTTCAACCGTGGTGCTGGGGTGGTTTGGTTGCTGCTGGTGATGTGGAGTTCCTCAAGTTTCTTGTTCTTAGTGTGCATGTAGATAACATGGTTCCGTTGCCTTGTCTGCTTGCCAGTGTCTCATAGCTGGACTGCTGTGTCCTAGACACAAGCCGAGGACATGGACTATATCTTGATTTCAAGGTTGCGACGTCTCCTGCACAGCTGGTGTACGAGATGGTTAAGAAGCGTCTGAGAGGTGTGACGGCAGAATCTCTCAGCATAGTCTTGTAGGTTGACTTGAGTGGGTTCGTGATCTGTAGTCTTTTTAGGATCTTGTTTGCTTTCTTGCATCTCTATAGAAAGTTGATGTTTGTGTCGATATGCACAATCTTCTTAGAGATCCTCTCCACAGCGGTTTGTGGTGTCAATGGTAACCATGATGTGGAGATGCCAGTGTTGGACTGGGGTGGACAAAATCAGAACTCACATGACACCAGGTTATAATCCAATAGGTTTATTTAAAATCACAAGCTTTTGGAGCACTGTTTCTTCATCAGGTGAAGTGGAGAGAGGTCCCCAGGCACAGAATATATAGGTGGAGAGACAATAGCAAGATAATTCCAGGTAATTAAGAGTGTCAACAGATAAGTACAAATAGTGTGAGTAGACTGTCGACAGGCTGAATAACAAGTCTTTGCAGATAATCAAGAGCGTCAACAGAGTAATACAAAAAGTGTGAATAAAGTGTCGACAAGTGACTAATAAGGTATGATCTATGAACAGATCAATTAAGGCAGAGACATAATTACCAATAATCAAAAGTAAAACGGTACTAGAGACAAACCAATTGATTGGAATAACATGAGTAGATAACGGAGTCACATGACCAGGATCTAACAATAGTAACAAGCAAAAACTGAACAAACTAATTAAGGCAGACAGAGATAATTACAAGTAAACAATGCAATGGTGTCAAAACAGGCTAGTTAGGAAGATTTTACAAACACCAAACAGAACAGTGGGGTTATATGTAACGCGACATGAACCCAAGATCAGTGTCGAGGCTGTCCTCGTGAGTGCGGAACTGGTCTATTAGTTTCTACTCGGCAATTCTATGTTGTCACATATCTCAAAGCCGCCTTGGAGAACCCAAAGATTGGAGATGAATGTCCTTGACCTCTGAAGTTTTCCTGACTGGGAGGGAACACTCCTGCCTGGCGATTGTTGTGTGGTGTCTGTTCATCTGTTGTCAGAGCACCCGCATTGTCTCCCAATATACCATGTGTCGGGGCATCTTTGCCTGCAGTGCATGAAGTAGACATCACTGGCCGAATCACAGGAGTATCTGCCGTGTACCTGGTGGGTAGTGTTTCCAAATGTGATGGTTGTATCCATGTCAATGATCTGACATGTCTTGCAGAGGTTGCCATAGCAGGGTTGTTTATTGTCATAGTTGCTGTTCTCTTGAAGACTGGGTAGTTTGCTACGAACAATGGTCTTTTTGAGGTTAGGCTGCTGTTTGAGGTGTGGGGATGGCCTTGGCAAGATGTTTGCCGTCATTGCTGACATGCTGAAGGCTGCAAAGAACATTGCGTGGTTTCCCCCCTCCTGTTTCAGCTGATCCATGGTTGCTGAATTTCTACAAGTCCATAGAACTGGACAATGAAGGGTACTGTTGGTCATGTCCCGTGTCTGTCTTCTGAGGTGTTCATTGTGGTTTTTCACAGTGACACATTAGAACTGTCGATCGATGATTTGAACTTCGTATCCCATTCTTCTGAGAATGTTTTTCAGCGTCTGTAGATGTCCACTGCTTTCCTCCTTGTCCGAGCAGATCCTGTGTATACACAGGGCTTGTCCTTAGGGGATGGCTTCTTTAACATGTTTAGGGATAACATGTAAGGTTATCCGTGGGCTTGCTGTAGGTGAAGTACTGAAGTGTCCATCCTTGATGGAGATGCATGTGTCCAAGAATGAAACCAATTCTGAAGATGAGTCCATGCTAAGTATGATGGTAGGATGGAACTCGATGATATCACCGTGTAGTCATTTCAGTGATTCTTTGCCGTGAGTCCAAAGGAAGCAGATGTCATATCTGGTGTACAGTGTTGGTTGGAGGTCCCGTGCAGCGAAGACATCTTGCTCGAACTTGTGCATGAAAATATTGCATTGGGATGCAGATGTGGTCCCCATGGCCGTTCTGTGTGAATGAAGAGCTGCTTGTTGAGATGAAGCAGTTGAGTTTTAGGATGGTGTCTGGAGATTGGAGTTGTCGGTGTTGAGTACTGAGGCTGTTGCAGTGATGCTGTCATCGTGGAAGATGCTGGTGTACATTGCTCAAACATCCATTATGACGAGGAACGCTCCAGGTTCAACTGACCCGTGGGTACTTAGTTTCTGTAAGAAGTCTGTAGTGTCACGACAGAAGCTTAGGGTTTTTTACATGATGGGTTTCAGGATGCACTCAATGTAGCCAGAGAGATTCTCACTCAAGATGCCATTGCCTGATATGATGGGATGTCTAGATGTGTTGATTTTGTGTATCTTCGGGAGGCAGTAGAAGTCTCCTGCCTGGGGAATACATGGGATTAGGGCACGTAGGATGCTCTAAAGGTTTGGACTGAAGGTCTTGATCAGTCTGTTGAGTTAATGGATGTGTTCTTTAGTCAGATCAGCAGATACCTGTCTGTAATGTTCCTGGTTGTTCAGTTGCAGGTACACTTTCTTGCAGTAGTCTGTTCTATTCTATATGACAATGACTCCTCCTTTCTATGCTGGTTTGACGACAATGTTGCAATGTTGCAGTTGGTCTAGAGTCTGTGGATGGTGTTGCATTGTGCTTGACTAACATTCTGGGCTATCTTGTGAGCACGACTGATGAATCTAGCATTGCCGCATCTCCTGATGGCTTCAGCATACATGTCAAGCCTAGGGCAGCAACCTTCCCGAGGGGTCTAATTCAAATCTTTCTTCTTTGGTTGCTGCACTGCGGATCTCTCTGTCGACTGTTCCGGTTCATTGGCTGTCTTATTGGGCTCGCTACTGACATCTTGGGGTTTGTCGAAGAACTCTTGGACCCTCATTCGGCTGATGAATTACTCCGTGTCTGCTGCGAGACCAGTTGGGTCCATTTTGGTAGTGGGGCAAAAATTGAGTCTTTGGCTGAGAACTTCGATTTTGTCTGAAGTGTGTGGTTAGACAAGGTGATGATGGACACCTTTACGGTGGTACCGGTTTCAACCATGCTA